ACGAAATGTATTCAAGAACAGAGCTTATCGTCGACTTCAAAAATCAAACGTTATTCAACCAGTCGAAGATTGAATTCTACGTCGAATAAAATAAAATTCCATTGAAATGAAATAACCCTTGCTCTACGACAAGGTGAATAAATTAGGCAAAGAAATTTCAAAAAAAAACAAGCTTCAAAAAGGATAAAACTACCTCTGATCAAATTAGCCAAGAAACTCGCGAGAAATGTAAAAAACAAGCTTCCCAAGAGAGTGACGCGATAATAGTAGATCGCTATTTAACAACAATGAGGCTCTTAGGGGAAGTAACGAAAAATCAAAAAAAAAAAAAATTCCAACGAGACCCGACAAGAGAGTTGTCCCTCATTTCGCCGTTGGTAATCAGGAACTTTTAAGAAGCTTACGTCGAGCAACATGAGCGAGGGATTGGTGAGCAGCTCGCAGGCTATGCTCGTCCTCTTCTTCTCGCCGCCGGACAGTCCTCGTTTCGTGTAATCCCCGATAACTGAAAGGAAACAGAAAGCGAAAAGCAAAAATGAGGCGCACGGTCGCACGAGTGTCTACGTGTACGAACGCTTCTGGCTCGCTATTATCTCGCCTTGGGCGATTAATTAACACTAATTAGGTTCAGCGGTTCCAAAGTGGACACCTTAATTCGCAAGACACGGCGCGATGATGACGACGCTTTGGTTAAAAATACGTAGCTCGGTATAATTGGGATAATGATGGAAGCTTGCGGTCTCTTTACTCCAGTGTTACATACAGGCTGTCTTCAAACTTTACCTTACACTGATCGATCGATTCTGCTTCCTGACGATTTCTCAGTTTCATTGCGAATTGTGAAATCGAACGTAGGATCGACTCTTGGACACGGGGTATCACTATAGATATAATAACACGGGAATTTAAGTTGTTCAACGAAAAGAAGTGTAAGAATTTCAATTACGATATTCTGGAATGATTTAAATTCACTTGAAAGAGAAATCTAATAGAATATTCACGCACAATATACAATCAAAATTATAAACACACAATTACGATTAACAACCGCGAAAATAAAGTTCGTTGCTTCAGAAACAATTAAGTATTAATTCCCTTCCAAGTTCGTTCGGAACTGACAATTGAAAACAATCGACAATCAAATTCTACTGCATTCGCGAGTAACACTTCCGTTGTTACGATTGTCGCGTTCATTTGTCTCGTCGTGGAAATGATCGAAACTCGATGTGGACGTGAATTCCGGATCAACGGCCAGAAAAGAAATGAAATTTCTCGTCCCACCGATTTCCACGATTGAAATATAAAATCGTTTTGTCCGAGTTGCTGAAAACAAGTCGAAATTGGATTACGAACGCGACAGACCTGCAGCGTTCCAATCGAAGAGAAAACAAACAAACAAACAAACAAACAAAAAATGTTTCGAGTTTCCCCGTTTCCCCGAGTAAATGAAAAAAAAAAAAAAAAA